CACCATCACCGACACACAAAGAAATGTGAGAGTGTAGCTGCTAAGCTTCTAACCAAGATTGATAATAACGTTTATTAGGCTCACATTCGGTGCTTTCATCTTCTTGAGAGCCTGGAAACCCAGGCCTTACCTATTTAAGCCGCGTTAGTACCAGCTCGGGGTGGCAGGTGGACCTCTCTGGTCAGCATCTCTAAAGGTTCGTTTCTCATCTTCCTCCATGACATCGCCTTAGTAGTTTACACCCTGTTGAATGATTCTTGTAGGTTGAAATAGTGTTTGGACGGGTAGTTTCCTAAATGGCTTTCGACTTTTCCAGGCTCTGAAGAAGGTGAAAGCACCGAAACGTCGGCCTAATAAAAGTTCTTGGTTGGAAGCTTAGCAACACTCATATTCTGGACTATGCCAAGATTTATACAAAGTCGAACTTGGACACACAAGGAAACATAATACGCCCCCTCCCCTCTCTCGCCTTCTAAAATGTCTCCAAACACGACACTCCTCCGTGGTAAATCACCATCAAACGGCTGACCCTGGATGAAAGGTAATTCACAGCAGCTCTTCAAACTGAGAAGTGTAGGTTCAAAAAAGGGCGTTTGTCACTCTCTGAAAGCTCATTATGAACTTCTGCCAGTACATGTTCAAAATATAAGAATATCCCCACAATGCGGTCTCCTTCACAGGTGAAGTTTTCAACTGAATTCCCGAATTCGCTCCATCATGGACTTTTTCCAAAGATCTGGGACGGCGGCCTAATTGCGTGCCGCTTACTAACAGCTCGCAAGTACTCCTACTGCCACATTTCGTCAAGTCGCAAATGCATAACTAAGAGGCAAAATTGTGTTAATCGTTAGAACGCGGTGTTTCCTCAAAACGCCCGACTAAAGGAGGAGCGAAGTAAGAAGTTGATAGACGTAATAAACTCTATTGTGTACGACGGCTCTGATAGATGTAAGCAGAGCACTGAAAAACAAACCGATTGTGGTAAGGGGCATTCCAGCAAATAAGACCAGAAAGTATACGAATTTCCACAAATTTTAATTTCATTAACTTTTATACCGTACGAGGTTGTATTGTGGAAATTTGTTCAATGGCCTAACGTTTCAACTGAAGTGTCATGTGTTCCAAGGCCTGAAACACGTTTCAAGCTTCAAGTTCACACTCTAGTCCATCAAGCACTCAGGTAGCGGTTCGGATAACGTGTTAGAGATTCTCGAAAAAATCTCAGTAATAGTGAAAAATAAACTTAGCGACGGTCCCGCCGTTCCAGCTGGTTACTTCGCTGCCACACAACAGCGTTAGTTAGTTGCAAAAGTTGTTGTGTTGTAGAATGTCTCTTTATGGTGAAAGTTCCCAGGAGCACGTACGCTCTATCAGAAGGTCATTTGTTAGTAAAGGTTGTTCATTCTGGGGATTTTAGAGAATATCGAGAACGCTTTTTCCACGCTTTCTTTGCTAAAATTTCAGCCTCGATGCACCATTACAGTGCACTCAATTTCGAAATCAACGCAATCGTGCTCATCAACTTTGTGCCTTTCAAGAGCAGTTTTGAGAATACCCCGTTCCATATCAGCAAGATGATCTTTGATGCGATTTGCCAAAACTCTTCCTGTCTCCCAATACATGTTTAGCTTTTAGGTTACAGTTTTTTTACAGTTTATATTTTCTACAATTTTTTAAAAAAAGTACTTCGATTCTACTAGAAGTAGGCGCGACATAAGCAGCATTTTTTTTCATGAGAATTATGTCCTATTTCAATTCAAAAAACGATGAAAAGTCCTGTTAATGACTAAATCCGTCTTTCTGGTGTGCGCCACGTATCTTCTTCACCTCGGAAACGCTAACAGCATTTTACGGGAGACCCTCCACATGAATTGTGAGATCTGATAAGTGAATCAATAAATTTTTAGCCTTCCAGAAAAGTCTAATATTACTTCATCGACCCTGGAGAAATGGTAGGATTGGGTGATCAAGGCGATATTCGATAAGATATTGGACCCTCTTGCCCATGCGCTGGTAAGAGGCGCTCACTGCCACTATACATACTACCTCCACCATTTCATAAATCCATTATACTCCAGCTTGAGATCCAGCTGCAGTGGATATCTTCGTGTTGGTTCCTCTTGGGACGCCAAAAGTTCTGATGTAAACGTCAAGAACCCTGCATTCACAAAGGTTCGCTTATCTCAGCGGCAGTCAAGGCGAAGAAGAATCTTAACCGTCTCCAAACCGGAAACAGCCGTTGGCGTTGATAGATAGAGCGGTATGTTAGCATAAGAATCTCCCATCTGATTAATGGCCTCGCTATACGTCATTCATAGGCCCATCAACACCTGTTTCATGGATTAGATATGCGGCACGAGTTCTAATTTTCTGTTATGAAAATATACCAGTTTCAAGAAAATGATACTCACTCGCTATTCGGGCATATCCGGGCAGACATCGCTGTTGGTAGACGTGAAAAATCGAGGAAGTCTCTTCTATTTGTTCTTTTTCCTCTCGTTCTTCTCTGGACGAAGAGAATGAGTGCTGAGATGTGAGTGCCACATCACCTGGAACACCTGGGATTGATCCTCTCAAGAACCCTTGAGAAAGCCTTGACATACCTGAACATTGGCCCGAATCGACGCTGAGGGTGCTGTCGGAACGCATGCTTTTTGGCGATGAAGGGGCGTGAGGCGGGACTCTGGGGATGTCGGACGATGAACGCTGACTGCAGCCGAGAAAAAGTCCGCATTCACAGGTCGTTCGCCCATATCGACCCAAAAAAGAAGGATGCGACCTCACCTTGCTCCAACTTGTTCCCTCGATCCTTCCAAGGAATCTTCGTGATTCACTGCGATCATATGTCGTAACGCCATTTTCTTATTTACCACTGATCGCGAGCAACCATTCTTTTCAAATTTGATTCGTAACTGAAAAAATTGAACTACCCTCTCTATCAAACTTGCTGTTGGCTCCATAAGAATTCGAATCACTTAGTCAAGTCTTTATGGAGCCAATAAATTTATGAATTTTAGCGACGCATGCTATCTGCTGGTACTGGTCCAAAATTCTTAGTGAAGGATTAAAGGCAGCGGTGGCGCCGACTGAGACTTGGAAACGAGTTGGACATGTCATTGGTGGGAAGGTTCCCAACGATAGCCCCTCCTCGCCCCTCTACCAACGATGCTGCCTCGCTGACCACGCGTGTAACTCGTCTCTGCCTCTTCGCCAGCGCGACCCCTGCCTTTAGGGCGAGCAAGGAATTGTTTTCGGTGGGGAGAAATTTGGAGGAGCCATTGAATTCGGAAATAACAATGATATTACTCATCAACAAGACGCTACAAAATGTCCTCTGGATTTTAAAGGAGCACTCCACGATAAGAACGAAGGTCGAAGAAGGGGAAACTTACCTAGTGGAGAGACAGGCGGACCTCCTGAGGGTGCGGACCGACGCGCAATTGGCAGCGAAAGATTTGACCTCGGCGATCTAGCATGGCTCACTCTTGGCGCGGTTGGCGGGGTACGCCCACCGACTATCTAATCACTCGCCGCAGGTCTATACGTGGCGAGTGATTAGATAGCAGAGAGAGCGTAGTGTTGAAGAGGGCACAGCGATGAGAGTCGCATCAATGCGCAAATCAACGGGCAAGGAAGGGGTCCCATTTCTCGGGTTCTGGGCCGTTTCTCATGGTTTCTTCTTCATTCCCTCTCCACTGACCATGGCTACCTTTATTTCCAATAAGTCCGTATTTAAGGAACTGAAAAGGTGGTGACTGAGGATCGAACAAGTGGTGCTTCTAAACACGCATAAACGCAAACGCGACGCTTAAAAACCAATTCATCTTTTTTAAAACCATTTTGAAGAGATTCGCCGACAGAAAGAGTTATACCTATTTCAGTTCCATGGCACATATCTATTGGAAGCGTATTGATCGGATGTTCAGATGAGCGTAAAGACTTTTAAGAGATTTTCAGAGTTTCCTATTTTTTTTAAATCTCTTGGACATTAGATGTGATCTCTGACAAGTAGCATCCAGATCTTTACTTACGGATTTGGGGCCTTTCATGAGAAAAAAAATCGTCGAACAAGAGGAGTTTTCAAGGAATGAAGAAATTGCCAAATTACAAATATGTAGAGTGATCAATACCAAAAAATATAAATTTTAACAAAGTTAGATGACACTCTGAACGAGTGCGGAGCCTCTCGAATAGCTCCAAGCGAGCAGTAGCCTCTACTAAGGGAATCTGTTTATTTACATTTTGTTTACACGTTTTTGGGAGGCAGAAATGGGGTAGTGGAGAGACCGGTTGTCACGAGCACGGTCCACCGATCAAATCCTTTTCAAAGCTCCGCCGTCCTTGCGATCCTTCCGCTACCGCTTGATTGGTACTAGTCTTTCCCAACAGTACAACAACACTGGAGTGGACGCCAACTGGCCGAGGAACAACTGAACAAGGTGTTCGCTATGTAGGCTGAACATGCATTCATGACTCCCACGATTCCGAAATATGCTCAGGAATGCGATGAAAAACAATTTTTGTTACGTATTAATTTTTTTAATTCGATTGAAGCATAAAAATATGGGAAAACGCCTAAGACTGAGCCGCAAGAGAGAGTGAGTCAGCGAAATCGGGAAGGGGTCGATTCCGAAAGGACGGGAGGCGGCGTCTCGACGACATTTTTAATGAGGAAAGACGAGTTGGCCGAGTTTTAGCTGAGTATTTTGGCTTCAAAGTGGCGCTTTGAAAAATTGAAAGTGTCGCCAGATTTAATGCCGTTTTCCCCCTGAGGTCTTCTTCTATAACAGCCTGAACGTTCTGATGAACATTAGAGCTCATCGAATATAGACAGACCCATAGGACGAATTTGCAAGGTCTGAGAAAATCATGTCTAATTGCAGCCGAAAAAGTGTGTAGGACATTTGAGGATTATGGCGAATTTTTTGGTTTATACGCCATATGAAAAACAGCAATATGAAATACTGACAGTAGCTTACGATAAGCCCTACGCACGAGGGAGACTAGAGGGCTGGCGTTAGCAAGTCTCGTCTCACACAAAGTTCCTCTCCTCCCTATCTTATAGAGTACAAATATAGCAAAGTACAAGCAAAACTGAAGGAAGTGCCGGAACGAAGCCTTTACCAGTTCGTGACTTCAAAGGACTCTCTAAAAATGCACACGTCTAAATAAAACGAGTTGGCGTCTCTGACACCCGCCGATCCCTTCCCTGATATTATAACCCTCAGAGAGTAGAAAAAACTGATCCAGAGGAAATAATGGCGCGACCTCATAAAGGAAAGTTGTGATGCGACCTGAACCTTCCTCCCTCCCTTTGGAGGTCTTAAGAATTGCGGTCAGAAACGCCAGCAGTTGTGAGCAGTGCGGAGTATGAAGTAGAGAAGGACGTTTTATGTGCTTCAATATTTTCACCAACGAGTGATCGCTGGGCAATCCTAATCCCAGCCGGGCACGTTTTCATTATGTGGCTGTATTGAACAGAAAAGAATTGAACAGATAATTAGGTTTTCGAGAATGAAATGCCTGAGGACGGCAATCACATAGCGCCAGCGGCAACAGAGAATGATAGGAAAGAAAAAAGAACAAGTTCTTGTTTCAGGCCCATTTTGGTGGGAAGTGAAGGTGGCCAACACTATTTGTTTACAGTCACGCCAAAACTGATGCGCATTGAAGAGTCGGCGTATGCGTAGTTAGGGGGGCGGGGGATAAATCGCGGGGGCGTTAATCCCGGGAACAGTAGTCCCATATTCCACAGAAGGAGGAAGCTTTTGGGTGGGTGTGAGTTTGCTTATAAAAACAGGCGAACTAATCTGGGCATTGAAATAGGAATGTTTCATGGCGGATGGTTGGGTGCTTTGCATCACTTTCCCCTCTCCTACCCCCCCCCCCCACACACCTCCGCCCAAACAGGGTCAACCCTACGTTGCTACAAGTACCAACGGGGGGGGGTTCGTAGTTTGTTGAAGTTGTGGTGGGAGGGGGTCGTACTTGTTTTGGTCGCACGAAATTACATGTGTGAGATGAGAGCGCGAAGGAAAAAAATTGTTGTTAAGACGTATAGGGGTCGTTACGAATCTGTTGTGAAGGAGGGAGGTGGTAAAAATTTTGCAAAGAGTACCAACGATAGGACCGACCCTGCGCTCAAACCACATTTCCGACTAGGATCCTACCTAAACCGGTCATACGTCCGGTAGCATCACGGTTAGGTGAGCTATTCTTGCACGAAACATGTGCCAGCCCGCTTAAGTCCATTGCACTGGGATTTTAAACCAGTTACGCAAAAGCCGCACCTTTCACTATCATACTTTTGGTTCCCTTTGATAGTATATAGGGTAAGAAAATAATAAGATGGTCAAGGAAGGTTACCTGATCGTAGGTGGGTGGCGATTTGAACAGGTGAGCGCTGTGATTTGAAGCGTTATGAGAGTTGAGTTCAGTGGATGAGCAGCCGGCGGCGCATCTGAATCCGGGCGGAGTCCACTGCAACAATCAGTTATTGCTCATCTTTCCTCGAATCACTATCGCAGCCAAAAGAGATTGATTGCAAGTACGTACAGCAACGTGGTGGTGGTTATGGCGGCCATATGTTGCGCCACACATGTGTGTCGGCCCCGGTAACAGCGCGTAAACATCGAACTAAACTCGCACTCTTAACTCACCGAGGTGCAGTCGGTCGGGCGAACTGTTTTCGTGTATCGAGGGTTTTCGGATTCGGCGCTACGACGAAGCGGTCGCTTTCAAGTTGCGTTTGTATGGAATGTGCCAGCAGCACTGCGAAATGACATAATGAATTAGGCGTCGAAATAGTGCGAGTGGTATATTTTTAAATCGGTTCGGTAGATAAGCGAAGAGCGCCACGCCCTACTTAAACGAGATGTACTCAGCTTCCTTTCAAATTTGCAAACTTGGAAAGCTGGTTGTTTATAAGGAAATGCTCTTGCTCCATCGAAGAACAAATAAAGGGATAGAGGCATCGAAGAAAAAGCATTTCGGTGTTGATCAATCCCTTTTTGGGATGCGGCACGCATTCTACTTCCATTTGTACATTCGTAGTGGCGTTTGAATGCGATGTGGCCTATACAATGACTTGCGGGGGCCAGCCGATGTACAAGTCAGTTTTTATCCTCCCAGACAAGTCTGGTACCAATTAACTGACTCGGGGGCATGGAAGGCTCTGCTATGTGATCACCGAACCGTGCGTCTTAGGTTAAAGGCAGCGATTACGATAATTTCAAGAAGGTTTATAGGAGACGTGGTGGTGCTCAATGGTACGTCAGTGGCGAAAAAGCGGAGAAATCCGTCAAAAAACGCAAAACGGGACCCCTTTTTTGGCCGTTGGTTTTCACTCATGAACAGGTAACAGCTCAGAAAGCGGACGTATGAACGAGTTCAGCGCAACGCGTTTGGTGGCACCATGCCAAACCACGCTCCAATCGAGTTGCTCCAGTTGTGCCGCTGCTGGCAACGCAGCTCGTCCAAATCACCAACTAACTAGTGGGCGGATCGCTTTTGGGGCGGAGTGCTTTCGAAGTCCTGCTCAGCAACCAGCGCACCTTTCGTCGTGAAAGCGCTACACCTCGCTTCCCTGGCAGCCAAGTAACTGATTCGTGTGGTGCATATGCTTCCCCGATGCGCTCCCACTTTATCGTTGTCTTTGAGGGCTCACTCACCTTCGTAACGCGGCTGCTAAGGCAACGAGAGACTAAGCGCGGAGAGGAGAGTATGAAGTGAGAGAGCGCAACAGCCTGATGAAGCACAGCAGCTCACTTTGGAAAACCCTAGCCCTCTTGTCGGTTGATTTCCATGTTCGGGAGTGCCATATCTGTGATCAACCTCTAGCGATCTACCCCACAGACAGTAGGGAATCGTTCACACGACGCCAGCCGGACAGAATTAAATGCGCACCATTTGGCATCTGCTCCCATTTATAAACTTTGAACATCAAATTATCGTGATCATTGGGGGCTCATGACCTTGAGGGGACATTAAAACAGGGCCTCTAAAAATCGCGATGAGGTGAGACTGGGACCAAGTCCAGGTGAGGGGAAGGGAGTGCCATTGAGAACAAAAGTGCTCACATTCTGCACCAAAATCTCTTCCCCTCCCCAAGGCTTGGTCTCAAAAATACTGTAACTCGGTCACTTTCTTGAATGCCCCCCTAACAACATGATCATTACTTCTGAAGTAATACGTGCTTTATCACTTTGATGCTGCGCTACTTTCACTTATGTGAAAATACTCAACTCATTCCACCGTGGTCACATTTTTCAGTATCACAGGAACGCAAAGTTATAGGGAAACTTTTTTCATTATCAGCAGAAAAGCAATAGGTATTGGAAAAAACTTCGAACGGGCCGCACGGGTTGAACAGTATTCCTGGTGTGGGGCTTGTCGATGCAATGCCCGCAATTGTCCGTCCTTGAGCAACTATGTTTCCTTCCGATAAACGTAATATCTCAATTTCTATTTCACAGCCAGAATGGACGCGTTTTGCATTTCTTGGGTTTTTCCCTTTTAAAAGCACTTTTTTTGTTTTACGTGCAACTTCTCCCACATGATGTTTTCCTCTTGTCGTTAACTCGTTTACTGCAGCTGCATGCAGACCGCTGTGTAAGGCCGATTCGTTAGATCACAACGGAGGACGATGTACTTTGAGAAACAGCCGTTTTTACTGGCCATAAACAATAGAAATAAAAATTTAGTGCTTTCTGCTACTACACATAGATGCACGTGCTTCACAACAAACCCGCGCGTCTGGAGTCCGAAAACGGGAGCATTTCACTCTTGCTTCAAGTCGTCACGATTGCCCTGCATTCTGAATGGAAGCTCTGTGGCCTATCTCCATTCGCTTCGACGTTCATTTCAATGCTTCACTTAGAATAAAGCTACAAATCTGAATGCTCTACGTGCATGTGGAGAGTATGTCAGCTGATCAAGCCATTTAACGAGCGAAAGCGCGTACAAAATATAAAAAAGTATAGAGCCTTGCGCGCCGATATCCCTTTTTGGGATGCGGCACGCATTTTGGCTCTCCATTTGTACATTCATAATGGCATGGCACTTAAATGCGATTCGACCTATACAATGACTTCTCAGAGGACTCTGGTAGCAATTGGACGACCCCGTTGGTTGGCCCGGACGGCGCACGACCCAGGATTCCAGTCCCTTGGACTGCGCGCGTGGTAAGCAGCGCCACTTGCCACTACACCACACTCGTTCAAAATATGCGTGGTGCAATCTAGAATGGATTAGTCATCGCTCAATGCTTCATATTTTTCTTATTCATATGACGTTAGCAAACTGTGATGAGTAAGTAAAGTAGATGACCAACGAAATATGTAAAGTGTGAAAACACTCCGGAGGCAAAAGCGCGGCGCAATCCGCGGTGGCTGCTCTCACAGTTATGGTTAAGTTGAGAAATTCATGTGCAAAGGTATAGTTTACAACAATCCTTTCCGTTCCCATAAGCATAGACTCGCTGTAAGTCTATGCAAATCAGTAGGCCAACTGCATCAATCTTGTTCGTTCTTCGAAAAAGTGGAACAAATCACTTTCTGGCAGCTAGGCGGCTTCGAGAATAAAGGCTTCTTGCCAATAATCAGGCAACATATAGTCTTTTAAAATTACGGAAGCTAAAGAATTCAAACCGATATTCGAGAATAAAAGCTGCTTGGCTGGCTTTTAAATATAATACATATGCCTTAAAGGAATCTTCCACGGAAAAGCTCCGCCTCCATTACCACAGAAAAACGATACCCTTAGGCCCCTAGCCTCATGAGCATAGCAAAAAGAACGGAACATAAGCGTTAGTTTCGATAATACTAATCCTACACACAAGACAAAATGATCACTCTTTCCGTGGAAGATTCCTTTAAGGTATCGTTTTCTGTGGTAATGAGGGCGGAGCTTTTTCCGTGGAAGATTCCTTTAAACAAAAATAGCCACTGCTAGAGAAACCGAGTTCAATGTGAAAAGCTGTTTATCAGAAATCATGGCAAAGGGGGTCAGTGGCGCAGGGATGAGGAAAAACGAAGAGGATGGGCCCAGACCTCTAGAAATGGATTCATATTCAGACCACTGAATCCATTGTTGAGGCGACTCTCATCGGTGCTGCCCCCCTCAACGCTAACACTGCTCTGCTAACGCAAAAGTCGGGAGGATGGTACGGCACTGGCGGCGCGGGAACGACCTGATTGCCGGGGCATACCCTTAGCTGGGAATGGCATGATGGTTCGCTGCCTTGGGGGTCACCTTCGCCATACTTCGAACCTTACGTGAATCCTTTAAAGGCATGCCCCAGGATCGCACTGGTGTGGCTCTTGCACACGAATGTGAATGTATCGGTGCCAAGTGGGCCGGCAGTGAAGAAAAAAGGAAAAGAATCCGTCGAAAACGCTCAGGTTGAGGGCTCACTCACCTTCCTAATTGGCTGTGCTAAAGGGAACGAGAGACTAAGCGCGAAGAGGAGAGTATGGGGCGAGAGAGCGCATCAGATGAGAGAGCACCAGACAACGGCCTGATAAGAGAGCTCGTTCGCTGCAGCTCGAGCAGCTTACTTTGCAAGCCCAAAGCGTTCTTGTCGGTCGAATTCCGTGCACGTGAACGCCACATTTGTGATTGTCCCCTAGGGTTCTATACTTCTGACCGAAGAGAAGAGTTCACTTCACACGACCTCTGCCTGGGTTGTGCCTTTAAGTGACTTGTGAACGAAGAATGTACATAAGATTAGGTACAATGAGGTCAGTGGCTAACTTCGCTCTCGAACCTGTCCGCTTTGCAGGCTGTCTGGGTTACGTCTGTGTACCATCTTTGAACGGACTAGGTGAGGGAAGGCACACACTTTCGTCGTCCGAGCCAATTCCAAAGAATCTTGCGACTGCTTCCGCAGCAGCCGAAGCGGTCTAGATTCTCAGGTAGTCAACTGATGTTTTTGTGGTGTGGACCTTTGCACTCATTCACTCAGTTTCCCCTCTGGGCTGTTCTGCACCAATTTAAAAACATTCGCTCCGCTACCGCTAATGTCAGCGCATGCCACGCCCACTGTGGGCGTAGTTCGAAGTAGTTATTGTGATGTGATGTGCATCTACACCCATGTAGCGTCTTCCAATCTTGACATGGTCATTTAGGTGGTTTTCAGGTAATACCGAATTTCGTGAGCGAAACGACCAACAGACATGCCGAAGAAAGGCAGGCTAACAGATAGAAAAAGCGCTTTATAGTAAGTGGTGTGGGTGGAGGCAGAATATTGTTTAGCATTGAATTGTAGATTAGAGTCAGGGTTCAGACTGATGGTCATGTCGACTTTTTCTGATTTTCACTGAATCGCGCCCACCTTGCATGTATTTAGTTTGGAAAGCTATTGTAGGGGCAAAATGTTTTTCTCAATGTTCCGTCGGCGTTCGTCGTCGATTGAGTCCAACGACATTCAGGTCTATTCAACCGAATATGCATAGAAATATCCTATGCGCATTGCAAATGACGTGGATTGGGCAAGTCGTAATATCAGTAGGGAAAGCTCGCGTGAATCATAGTTTACAAGCATGGAATCAGAAACGAGGTCCTTGGGGGTTTTAAGGCAAAAATAGTAAGACGAACTCGCGGAAATCTTACAAATGTCTCGCAAAAATGACAA